CGGACGGACACACACACACACACACACACCAAAGATTTTTTAAAGGCTAATATAGACATTCCGGTGTACTGCTATCTAATTATCTCCAGCCAAATGTAAAGTTCAAAGAGTGTCCCTGAAAGCTACAACTGAGTGAACTTAGGCTCTTATATGGCCCATTTGTACCTTATAAAAACCAGTGTCATCTAAAACTCAAAATAAAAAACATCAATTTTTCTTATTTATCTGAAACTCAAAAAATTATTGAGAACAGCCAATGAAATTATAGGAGTACATTATCATTTTTCAGAGTAATTCAACTAGCACAGCCATCTATCATTAAACCATATATATATATTTGTATATTTGTACCATACAGGCACCCAGACCTCCATATTTTGAACAATGCCTGGGAGGGCGTGGGGAGGTGTGTGTGTGTGTGGGGCGGGGGGGGGAGAGACAATGAACAATTTTTACCCCAAATAGGTGAATTGAATGTATCCAAAAATTATCTTTAGCCTCAGTTTTGCTCTATTAAGAGAGAGACTGGTAATGGTAGTTCCCCCTAAAAAGGGATGTGGGCCTGGGTGGAGAGGAAAAGATGGATACCTGACAGGAAAAGGGTAGAAGGGAGATTTTAGCTTTTTTGTATTGTCTGGAATATTACAAGATATGTACATTACTGTGTAGTTTTTAAGAAACAAAAAGGCCAAAGGGGGAGAATCTAGTTACTGATAATGCAGCAGCAGCCCTAAGTTCTACTACCCGGATTTATAGCATTTGACTTCAAATACTTGCTCAGATAGGGAGAGAAATTCTATAATAAAAGGAACCATAATATAAGGTACAATTAAAACAATGTGATTCTAAAAAAGGAATAGACAGATGTCTAGAATAGAAAATCTAGAAATAGATACAAATACTAATAGAACTTTAACATATGATAATAGTGGGATTCCACTTCAACAAGATAGATTTTTTTAATAGTTGGGACACATAGCTGGCTGTTTTAGAGAAAAAATAAATAAACCCAGGTTCCACTTTTTTAAATAACAAAATACATATCATCCATAATATTCCAAAGCAGGGGTCAGCAAACTTTCTGTAAAATTCCATATAATTAAATACTTATATATGCAATTACTCAGCTATGTCAATATACTGTGAAAGCAGCCGTAAACGATACTTAAATGAATGGGCACGGCTATGTTCCAATAAAACTTTATTTGGCCCACAGGCCATAGTTTGCTGACCTTGTATAAGGGTAAGTTGGGAAAACTGTTTTATATTCATGGAATATGGGGAAAGCCTTTCTAAGAATGCCATAAAACCTAAAAGTCATAACAGAAAAGACTAGATATCTGCTACCTAGAACCTTCTTTAACAAAAATCTATATATATAAAAGCCTAAGCAACTGTCCAACTGGTAGCTATGATGCACAATGACCACCAGGGGGCAGATGCTCAACCCAGGAGCTGCCGAACGATAGCAACTTTGCAGAGTGCCCTCTCACACTCCAGGACCCCTCTGGGGATATCGGACTGCTGGTTTCGGCCCGATCCCTGCAGGCCTGGCTGAGAAACCCCCCCTACTGGAGGGACCTCACCTGCTGGAGGGACCCCACCTGCTGGAGGGACCCCGCTCACTCCGCAAACACCCTTCGAGTCCCAGCGCTGCCCCAGGTGCCGCTGGCCCAGGAGGGACCGCAGGAGGTTGGCTACAAGGCGTGTCCAGCCCGTCTCGCCCAGTCCCGCCCGCCCCGCTGGCCACCTTCTAATTAATTTACTTTCAATGTGCACGAATCCATGCACTGGGCCTCTAGTTTATATATAAAATTCAAGAAAAATGGGGAATATATGTAATATATGACAAAGGGCCAATTTTATTAATTTACAATGAACTCATAAAAATCAAGAGAAAGGCAATCAAACAGAAAATAAAATTGGAAAAGGATTTAAACAGGTAAATTTCCTAGGTAAAAGAAATGACCAATACTATGAAAAATATACAATCCCACTCATAATTTTAAAAATGCATAAAAAAACAATTTTTGAAAGATTAATAGTATGTACTAATATTGGTGTATGAAAGCATAAAATGATGCACTGGTTTTGAAAAGCCACTTGATAATATATATGTGAAGTTCTAAAATGCACAGTATCCATCAAGTTCTAAAATGCCCAAGTCATGCAAAGTTTAAATTTTACAAAGTATACATACTAAGGTATATGTGCAATGATAATCACAGAAACGCTGTTTTTAACAGCAAAAATTTGGAAAAATTATTACATAAGTTATTGATAAATGAAATATCTAAACCTATTTTGTATATCTGTATGTACTAAGAAGGCAAAATAATATAAAAAAAGAGCAGTTCTACATGAGAAAATATAAAAATGTCATAGCAAATCACTTTGGAGGAGACAAGTTATGGGAGAGACTAGTTATGGGGGAGAGAGCGGGACAATTTTACTTTTAATATTACTTTACTTTTATTTTATTATTTATTAATTATTGCATTATTTTCAATACAAACAATCATAAATCATAGACTTACTTTTGCCCCACCTGTATTTATAAAGGGACAAAAAAATACAAAACGCCATAATGAGACAGCAGTAAAACTGAGGAATGAAGAGAATATGTAAGATTTTTAAAAGGTATGTATAAACAAGCAAAATCACATGAATTATTTGGTGGAAATGGATACAACAAAAAGACTTCTGGACCTGTTAGTTTAACCAAATTACCTTCATCACCAGGTGGAGCCTTTGCAGGCATTCTGTTTATAGTCCTTGGTGTGCGAGGTACAGCTTTGGCTTTGTTCCCTTGTTTGGAGATGAGCTTTATAGGAATTCTTCTTCGAACATCAAGACCACCCAATGATCCGGAACTATTAGTGCCTTGTAACTCATTGTCTATGTTAGGGGGAAAAAGTTGTAATTTCTGTTAGTTTTTCTTTTTGAAGATTCTTCTATTACAGGTATTAAAGCAGCATACCCATCATTATCAAGGTTTGAATATCTGGGTTCAGATTTTAAATACCTTGTTATGTAAGTTTAAGTGCTAATTTTCTCTATTTTGGGTAAACCCTTTAAAGAAGTGCTTTTGGAAACATGGAACCTTTCAAATAGTTGACAAAAGTGATAAAACTCTCCCTAAAAATGTAGACAATAAAATTTTTCATATAATTCCAGAGGGGTTTATAGAAACATAAAACCCTTCCTAACCCAAGATAAGCATTTCTGTCTTAAAGTAACTTGAGAGATATTTTAAAGGAAAAAGTAAGAGAAAGGAGAAATAGAAAGAAAAGCATCCCCATCTCCATCAAACATGCAAAGTAGGCACTCAATAAATTTAGTAAACTGAATCTACATCAGGGCAATCAATAAAGCTGAAAACACAAAACTAACATTGACAATGGTAAAAGTAAATAAATAATGCATTGACCTGAAGTTTGGTTTAAGGAAGATGATTATTACCTTAAGTGTAAAATAGTTTTTCTAAAACGCATATGGAAACATAGTAAAAACCGTCAGACCATTTACTAGTAGAAAGATGCAATAATATATCCATGCCATAACATTTCTGTATGTTCACATATGACTCTTATTCTTAATCGGCATTGTAATGGAAAATTAGTTTAGGAAGATGCAAGGTTTCTGCACTTCCACTACATCTAAACAACTGACATTTTCTAAGTCCCTACTTGTTATTGACTAAGAAATAAATGAAGTCATCCCATGAGTAACAGTAGCATTATTTCATAGAACGGACTCCATCTGAAGCTTAAAAGTCACCTTTTCAAGTCTATGATAAGCTATTACAACAAAATACCTTTACCTACTAAAGAATGAAGGGAAGTACCACAAAGTAGGAAATGAAACTAAAAATAGTTTTTTAAAATAGCAATGTTTATAACATGACACATTATTGAACAGGCTGTTTAACTGCCACTGTAGGAGATAGATAGTACAATCAAAATTGACAGCCAAACTGACCACATTACATTCAGTAAACCAAATTTAGAAATAATAACTAATGACCTACAAGGCTAGTAGGATTACAAATTAAATTCACAATAATGATTTATACCCTTTCTGAAAAATATGTATAACAAAATTCAAAAGAGGTCCTTAATAATTTAAATATCTTTCATTCTCATTGCTACTATTACTTACAAAATTCATGGAAAAGGAATTACATGGACAGCTAAAATCTTGAGTTCAGATAAACCCAACTTGATCAACTTTCAACACTTCACTAAATGTGTTGAGTTGAACAATGTATTTCATCTGCTTTCACATTAGCTGCTTACAACTACCTACAAGCAATGTAATTGCCAAAAGACAGATATGACAGATGAATTTTTTTTTTTTGCTCAAAGGTATTCCTAATTTTCCAATAATTAAAAAGCAAGTTGTAGACAGAGAGTTAGCAGTTCAAATTTTCCCTTCAGATATTTAAAGGACTCTTAATGGTTTTACCTTGGTGAATGATCAAAATGCCAACATTCCAAGTCCTTTTGACATCATCACCCTGAACACTTGAAGTCACCACAGAGACATGCTTAGTCTACCAATACTTTGAAGAGCCTGCTGCCTCTTAATATATCACTGCCTGCTCATTCTGGGTCTGTCTTGGGTTTTTTGGTTTAAGAATCAGAACATACAGAACAATTTCCTTTTGAATATGACAACTAAAAACACAAAGCCCATAATAACAAAAGTCTTTGGATATTACAAAGAAAGTGAGAACTAAGGATATAACTGGCCATTTTAGGTAAACCCACTTTAACAAGTAATAACACTTTTATATTATATAGGTGGTTTTTTTTTTAAGTATATTTAGAATTTTAAAGGAACCAAGAAATACTTTACAAAATTTAGGCTAGTTACAACTAAGTGCTAATTCTTTGAGCAAAGAATGAATCAAGTGTTAACTAGAAGTTTCTTAGAGTAATTTTACCAGCAAAATTCTATTAGGGCACCACAGGGTAGCCTTCATTATGTTTGACTTTTTCAGCGTGATCATAAAATCTCATTTCTGTATAAATTCTAGGGTTTCATCAATTTCAAAGGCATCTCTTAATCCTTTATTATTAAAATCATTCTTCTGAGATGCCTACCATGTCATAATGTCTTCAATTAATTGGCTAACAGGTATTTCCTCACTTGCCAATGACTTTATTTGTGACTCAAATAGTTTATGAATTTCATGAAAACCTGATTCTTTCGAAAGCTTTGTAATCACAATCTATATAAGCATTTGATACTGCTTATCAAATGAAACATAAAGGACATAATATTAACAATAGAAAAGAAGCTAGTGTTAAGCAGCAGGGATTATCTAGTAGGAACTAATTTTTTAAGTGGTCTGCTCATCGGTGAATATTTTCATGTTAGGATGACATTCACTTTCTTAAGCAACTTTTTAATTTAGGAGAATTAGGACACCAAATAATCAGTACACACCCACCCATATTATAATTTAACATAATATTCTCTAAACTGTGGATGGGGTTTGACTTCCATTTCCAGTAATAGGCTCAAATGAGAAATATTTTGCTAACCTTGGATGTTTACTACTCTAACATCAAGATTCCAGACTTTCAAGTCTGTATTTCCAAACTAGTGTGAGAGTTCCTTAGAGCGTGGGGTCTAGGACCTCCTCTCTTCTGTATTCTCTTTCCTTAAGTGATCTTGTCCATCCTCATATCTTAAAATATCAACTCTGCAGTACAAGTCCCAAATACGTGCTTTTCAGCTCGAATCTTTCTTTTGACATCTCCCCTTGTATGACTCTCAATGTATATCTCTTACTTAGCAGTCCAAAATCTTGTTCCCAAATTCCCATGAATCACCTCTACCCCTTAAAAAAAGTTTGTTTTTCTCCCACGTTTTTCCCAACTCAAACCAAAAACATAGGCATCTCTCCTTTCCCTCACATTACATCCAAACCAACCCATCAGCACGTGCTTAAGTACTAACCCCGAAATATTTATTGAATCTACCCATTTCCATTTTCACTAAACGGTCACCTTTACTAAACCAAGCCTCCCTTCTAGTTTGCTGCAATCACCTCCTAACTTGTCTATTTTCTATTATTCTTACCTCCCTCTCTTATACCATTCTCCATAGAACCTATTAGACTTTTAGAAGATTATGTTTCTCCTCACTTCTGTTCAATGGCTTCAGGTTGCACTTAAAATTCAAATCTTTGCAATGGCCTTCAAAGTCTTGCACCGGCTGACTCCAACCCTCCTTTCCAATCTGCCTAGAGCCTTCCCTCTTGCTAGTAACTAAGCTGCAGCAAACTGGTCTTCTCTATTTTTTTCCTATTTGTCTTTGTACTTGCTGTCCTCCAGATTTATTCCACAGCTGGCTTCGTCATCAAATTATAAATGTAACCCTTAGAGAAAGAACTTCTGAAGGGCCCTCCCAGTTAGTCTTTATTACAGCATCCGTTTATTGTCTTCAAAGAACTTAGGATCTGTAAAATTGGGGGTCTTTAAAGTTTGTAATAGAATGTAATCCCTATGACAGCAATAACTTATTCCGTCTTTTTTACCATGCTATCATTCCATCTCCAGGCCTACAGGTATCTGGCATATAAATATATTTGTTTGATCACTGAAGGCATCCCAACCAACACTTCGTACAGGGAAAAGCCCCTTTTCTCTCCTTGCCACATGATTGACACAACTATACGGAGCGTTTTATAACTCCAAACCAAATGCCACAAGGAAGCAAAAGCCAAAACAAAACAAAACAACATAACGAAGAGTGAAGCCATTACGTGGAGAAAGGGACGTGAACGTCTTGACTTTAAGCTCTCCTTTGTAAATGTACCCAAATGATGAGTAAGGACCACAGCCGATGCACGAAGCACGCTTGGGGTCTGGGTGGAAAAGCTGACCCGAATATCACTCCGAAAGCCACCTCCGATTCTCTTCTCCCACCTCCAGTCCACGAAGGTCCGGGAATGCACTTCACCACCGGCGGAGACCGCGGGAGCAGCCGCGCAAAGCGGGCGGAGACAGCAGGAAGTCTCCGGCGCCCGCTCGCGCATCGACTCCCCAGCACCCCGAGGCTTCCCCGGCTCCGAG